CTAAACTCTCTCTAGAAATTCGCAGCTCCTGGCCGGACCTCCTGCCCATGGCCCCGACCAAACTCCGGCTACACCAAGGAGCCCCACTTTCTTGAGCCCTTTTGACTCTTCTTACTCAACCACCATCTCCTTACCAATCCCCCTCCCCTGGGTACATATATCCCAGATCTGTCTTTAACCAGGCAATTGCTCTGAGAACACGAGAACAGGTTTCTGCCCAAGCCAGAGCCGACCGACCAGGACTCCCAAGACCAGCCCTTCACCCTGGTGATTCGGTCCTCCTTAAGAACTTACAACCACAAGCCTTGGAGCCTAGGCGGACGGGACTTCACACTGTAATCCTCACAGCCCCCACTGCAGCCAAGCTGCTTGGCGACCCCAGCTTAACGATCTGTCCTGGCACCACCTCTCCTGACTCAAGAGGCCCCCGGAGCAGCATGACTTCTATAAATGTGAGGTGTTGGGCCCCACTAAGGTCCGCCTTAACTGCCCACCCTTCCTCCTTCTCCTCCTGTCCCTGAGCAACCTACACCAACCCCCACCCGCTTATGTGTGGAGGTTCAAGGTCCATGAAACCTACTACCAGAATGGCAAACAAGTCACCCGGCAGGTAGGATCTCAGGACTGCCTTCTGTTCGGATGTCAGACAAGGATACAAATAACTGTCAACATCCGGTCAGTGTACCATGGTGTCCGGCCCTATGCCTGTTTTGCTTACGACCAAGAGGATCCAGACAGGTGTAATCAAGATGTCGACACCTGTGGGGGTTGCGGCTGGAATAACTGTGTTGTCAATGATGCCTACAAAGGTGGCTCCTTTATCTGGGAGAATGGGGCCTTCCACATCATAATCCGGGATCCCTGGGACCAGCGATGGGTTACGGGGGTTGTGGGAAAGCTGTACTTAAGTAGTTGGAACTCAACCCCTTCAGGGACCATTTACATCTCCTCCCCCCGGGTAGAAGTCCTGTCTTCTTGGCTCCAACTTATTCAACACACCCTACAATTCCTCAATGAGACCCACACCCTGCCCAATGTCTCCCACTGCTTTCTATGTGCCTCTCTCCGAAGGTCTTTGCTGGCTGCCGTCCCACTCACGACTTCTTCAAGAACCCAAGGGAAAGGTGAATGTCAGCCTCCTGTAGCTGTCATTCCCCTTTGGGAACCTGAAACTCCCGAGCCTGCCCTGCCCCCACAGATATGCTACCAGACCAGTAATCCGGTAACCGGAGGGCGAGTCACGTGGAACTGCACCCAGAACTACACTGCATCCAGCCTCAACAAGGCCAGTCCGGGTACCTTCTTTTGGTGCAATGGCACCCTCAGTAACTGCATGAACTCCTCTGACCCCGGGCCTTGCTTCCTGGTCACGGTAGTTCCCCAACTAACCTTGTATGGAGAGTTGGAGCTCGCCTGGCTGCTCCCTCCATCCCGCCACCGGACTCGCCAGGCAGCCTTCCTCCCTGTCATGTTTGGGGTGAGTATCACTACCTCGATAGGCCTCGCGGTGGGGGAGGCCCTCGGGAACAGTCTGGTCACTGATCAGGACTTTAATGACAAGCTCCAGTTAGCCCTGGAGTCCACTATTGCTTCTTTAGCTTCCCTACAGCGACAGATAACATCAATAGCCCAAGTAGTCCTGCAGAACCAGCACGCCTTAGATCTTCTGACTGCAGAAAGAGGAGGAACCTGTATATTCCTTCAGGAAGAATGCTGTTATTACATCAACGAGTCTGGAGTAGTGGAGCAAAATGTACAGACCCTGACTAAGCTGAGTGGAGAACTACATGCAGGACACTTCCAGGACAACTCTCCTTTCAGCTGGTTCCAAAGCCCCTTAGCTACCTGGGTCCTACCCATGATAGGGCCCCTGATTCTCATCTGTGTTCTTTTTTCCCCTAGCCCCCTGCCTTCTCAAGTTCATCTGCTCCCAGATCACGGAGATGTCACGGGTGACTGTGAATCAGCTCCTGCTCCATCCCTACGCTCGGCTGCCCTCCTTAGAGCCTCTGCCTAACCCTGGCCTTTAAATGCTCCCCTCATTGACCTTAGCCAGCAGGAAGAAGTCAGAACGAGTCACCGACCCTTATCACCAAAGGCCTGGATGTTAGGTCGGAGAGAGCCCAGGATCGGATACATGCAGACATGTGACAAGATGATGGACTTCCCCTGGAATTTCCACAGATCAAGGTGCCAGACACAGATACCCGCTTCTTCTCCCTTAATCCACATACCCCAGCCCATCCCCTGCAGCAGAGAATTCCTCAACTCATGTCCCCATCCCTCAACCAACCTGAGTATAAAAATAGTGCACCCTCCCTGTGGGCGTGAATCTACATGCCTTATCTTCTGGGGTACATGGGTATCCCGGGGATGCAGAAATAAACCTTTTCCTTTCTTTTTTTTCTGATTCACTGGACTCTCTATTTCTTGCGCCACATCCTGAGCCACCTAACCTAACAATTTCCTTTATACCCTTGCTGGTATTTATTCAAGAAGACCACTAATCTTTTCATCTTCTCATAATGCCCATTTCTGAAGC